GTAGCTGAATCCACTGAACACTCGTGACTGAATATTGGGCCCGGCAGAAGGCCAGCGTATCACGGGCGGGTGGCTCATTTGCAGAGTGGCACACGCTGGGCCCATCCCGGCAGATGTTGAGCACGTGGGCAGCTAGGACTGCTGCAACTCATCGGCGAGTGCACCCCCGCGTCCGTCCGGCATTGTTAGGCGACTCTCTGCGATTGCACTCAGAGTTTGGCGGGAACAGGCATAAGAGCACCGCAGCTCGCTGCCTGACGACGAGCACTGCGTCGGCACGAGCCGAGGGCCATCTGTTCTCTCTACGCTTGTGTTATATTTGCCTATTCGTCTTGCTGTGCATTATTAAAAAGTGGGAAGGGTCGCGCCCCACAGTCATCAGTCAAGCCCACCAATCACATCGTCAGCAGTTCCCAGGAGGCGTCCAGGTCACGGTAAGAACCGTCCCGCCACGCTTGTCGTTGGGGTCTAAATCAAGATCAACAACTGAACCATTTGGGTGTACCTCCAAGCCAACATCGGCCAACATCTACCAAGATCTTTACGATCTGTGCGTAATTCATCAAAGTCAAAATCAACGTAAATCAACCAAATTCTACGATTTCGTCGGTTGAAAATGGCAAGAGCCGTCATCAGCCGATTTTGAGTCATGTCGTTTATGCTTGGGGTACAACTGTCAAGGTCCACAACGTTTTGCGTATTAATTTGACTCCTTAAATTTCTCGATGAAGGCCAGAAGCAAAAACATGAAATGCGGTTCACTTAACAATACTTGGTTCAGCTTCAATAAAAATTCATTACTGAATTTTTGATTTGTAATAAACAGTGGCGTGGTCTGCCTATTACGGTCCGATATTACGTTTCATGTCAGCAGACGTCCAATGACTAGAATTCACACGTGAATGTAAGGTCACTGTAATTCCGTTGCATTCAAAATCTTCATAACGCATGCCTGATCAGTGATAAGACCCATATGTTTTATGTATATATATATATATATATATATATATATATATATATATATATATATATATATCTATAATACACAGCCATCTTATGTGGACTTCATGAGCTCTTATGATGAAAATAACCGACCTTCAGTATCCCAGGAGTACTTGTCAATAGGTTCATCTGCGCGTTTGTGTGGACGTGCGTGCGTGCGTGCGTGCTGCGTGCGTGCGTGCGTGCGTGGTGGGTGTGCGTGCATGCGTGCCTGTCCGATAAAATCGTTTAATCAATACCTCTTGACGTGTGTGCAAGGGCGGTTATTTTCAACAAAGGCACCATAATGCCACATTCTTGTCCATATCAAGTGTTCATGTAAGAGTCATATTTGTGAACCGCATTAGAATTACCTGCATGATAATAATACACCCGCATCGCCGTCGTTACCCCATCGCTGGGTGATTACCGCCCTTCACAGGTGGCTTGTACCACTGGCCTATTCCCATTTGTACGCTGGCTATTTGCCGTGTTTGCGACCGCTACGCATGATGTGAACGATGTTTATTTACACGCGTACATTTGAACTGAAACGATATCATTTTGTTACACGCTGCGACCGGCGGTAGAGGCCTCCACGGGTAGAACTTCCCTAACCAAAATCACACGCCCCATAATACAATGGGACAAATCCCAAACTTCTGCGGAATTCAGCATTGGACTTACGGAGTTTCCAGGAATGAGTGACTCTAAGCACCTCTGTGGTCCCCGCTGTGACCCACTGTGGAGCTCCCGTGATCAAACTACTCTGTATTTATGGGGTTCGGGCCATACCCAGTGCTAAGCCATCCATTACCCACTCGCTTCCTGGTTTCCCATGCTTTAATTTAAACTTCTAAAGCGATGAGAACCTTGCACTTGGATTCATCACTCTTGCCTTGGGAATTGCTTAAGGGAGGTGAATTATCATCCAGTCATGACAAAAAGTACGGCCAATATTATGTTTTGCGTTCAGCACTTTGAGAAGTGTGCACCCGGCCCCGCTCGACACCAATATACCCAGCTACGCCGCCTAGCCCCGCCATCCCGCTGGTGTAACGATGAGTACGCCGGGCTCGTCTCAAAACAAGCGAAAAGCTTGAAGGGGGGGGGGGGGCGAGGTACGTGAATATGCTGTTTCAACTTCCACCTAAAGTTTTGAGAAAAAAAGCACCTAAAATTTCCCCGACAAAGGAATGCCGCACTCCCCGTAAGCTGCAACAAAGTACTGCGAGTGGCTGCTGCGCGTGGGCGAGCGTCATTGGCCTGCCATGACAAGGCACATCCGACATCCGTGTCACGGTGTCACGGCTCAGCGAAAAGGACTGGACAAAAAATACGTCATAATTCGAGCTATCTGGGTACTGGGGCAGTGTCCACGCCGCAAGCTATAAGCTTGGCGGTTCTTGATCCCGGGGCCATTCGAGTCATAAATCGGAGGCTAGATTTATATTATATATATATATATATATATATATATATATATATATATATATATACATATATCTGCGTTAACTTGGATTTATCAACCCGTGAAGGCCTCTGGACACATGCGAATACATAAAGTGACATGACACCTGAGACTGGATCGTGCTGTTAAATATGCGTGTCACTCGATACTGTACACTGTACTAGCCCCTCCCCCCCCCCCCCCCACGTCAGGTACATCACTTCTTATCCTCCTCCATTCCACGGATAAGTACACATAATCAAAATACAATCGCTCAAGTTCATCGCAAATGCTGCAAGCAGTCATTCACTTCCCTTTTCTTCGATTTCACTTCCCCTCCCTCAAAAGTTCTCACTAACGACCCAACCCACAAGACAGCACAGAGGAGCAAAAGGGCTCCCAAACACAAGTGGCCAGTCAAGCAACACTTGCCGTTCCCGGCAAGAGGCATGCGATAAATCACTAGGTAAATGTCACTTGCATTGACGGCACACAATTGACATAGTAAACGACAATGATCATGTTCAACTCTTCCTGGCCTTTCCCAACCGGGACCAGTGAACCGCTTAGCCATATTTGTAGTTGCTCTTCATATGGAGCATCTCACAAGCCAACGTGCACTGCAAAAATCTTGATGTGTTATCTGAACGGCGTCAGAAATCGGCTACGTTAGGTTCGTCTTTCCCTCATAGGCGCGATAAACAGCGGCTGTACAAGCGATGCTTCACTACGGGAGTGACCCAACACTTACACGGTGTACGTGTTACATGTGTTACATGACCGATCCCTGTGTTACAAGTGTTACATGACCAATCCCTGCACGCATGGTCTCAACGTGTAGTGACGCGTCACTTCATGCGCTTTCGTCGCTTCGTGAAGCGGCGCGCCATTGTCTCTATCGCTCAGCCACAGCTGGCACAACGTCTCCCATCGCTCGACGATGGGCTACGCAAAGGCGCCATCGGTCGATGATGCCGCACGCCGAGCGTCTCTGTCGCCGAGTGTCGCGCCACACTCGTGCAGCGATCGTCGCAGCGTTCCGTCGCACGGCGGCGCGGGCGTCAGTCGCACAATGTCCATCAGTTCAGCCACAAATCGGCCAGTCACAAAATCAACACCGATCGCCAAATTGTTAATCGGCTGCCAGATCCGCCAAAGCCATGAAGGAAATGGCCCCGATCGGTCCGCTAAGTGGCGCATGGCTGGAAGGGTCAAAGGCTGGTTTGACGTCACAAAACCACCAACGGTTGGCAGGGGCCGCCGTAACACGGCGTTTACGACCTAAGGCTGGTCTGACGCTACAGAACCACTAGCGGTCGGCAGGCGCCGCCGAAACACGGCGTTTGCAGCCCAAGGTTGGTCTGACGTCACAAAACCACCAGCGGTCGGCAGGCGCCGCCGTAACACGGCGTTGACAGAAAGTGACCTGAAAAGAAAACACGGCACTAGAAACGTCCCGGCTGTCTTGGTCAGTAGTTTCTGAACCGTTTAAGACTGAGTCTTGAAGCTTCGTCTTCTTTTGAAGAAATCTCCTCGCACACGCTTGCAAGAATTCAAGATCCCAGTGTGATAATATGGGGCTCCAGTATGGAACAGGCGAATACTTCACCACCGCCGCGCTGCGCCGCGCTGCCTCCGCGGTCTCATAGAGGTTATTTTAAACCGTTAATCGGCGTACCGACCTTCCTTATGGGTGCTGAGGAGCCGTTGAATCGCTCCTGGTGAGTGGGAGCTGGTGCCAGACCCCCTCCTATTCGTGTGTTCCCCGATGCTACTGTCGCCCGTTACTGAGCACTCCATTACCGAGAGCTCGCCTGCACAGACTCTTGATCGAGCTACACGCGACAGCTTGGGCGGGGCTCCCACCAGGTGGTACATCAGCCCGCTCAAGGTTGACTGCCGCGGATCACCCAATAAGATGGGGGGGGGGGGAGGGGCGGGAGTTGCGAGGGTTCAGGATGAAGCAGACTGAGGAAAGAAGGGCGGACGTTCGTCACTCGTGCCTGCGCGCCGTTAACCGACCCGGAAAAGGTATACCACCGCGAGCGGTAACAGCCGCAGCCAAGGTAAATTGCATGCAAAACACCTGAGGTGACTGCGGTGCTTAAACCTCCAGAAACGCTGCAAGCCTGCAGATCATTAGCACAGCCGTGTCGCGGGAGCCGACGCGGTGAGAAGACAGCGACGTGTCGCCGAAATATGGCGTCTCAGCGGTCGGCCGCCGACGCAGCTGCACGGCCCCTGTGCGCTCCGTGCCGTCCTTCGACGCCCATACGATTGGTCGGTACTCAGGTCGCCGGGTCAAGATCGACGGTGTAGCGCCGCCAGGCGGCTGGGTGCGCCACTGCAGCGGAGATTTATCACGCTTTTCACGGTCGTTTTCACGGTTTCGATCTCCGGCGATTGGGAAGCTACAGGCCGAAAATCCTGGGGCTTGTGTTTGACATGTTGCACGCCGTAGCGCGGCGGCGTCGGCTGGTCACCAGGCGCTATGTCCCACTCCACACCACCTGTGTCTGCAGGTCTACCAGATGAAAACGAGAACGAAACTTGCCACTTCCCGTCGCTCCCATCGCTGAGTGGCGCGCCACATTGGACGCGCCCGTCGTGACGTCACAGCGGCGCTTCACACCGAGTGTTTGCGCCGCCTGAGTGCGCTGGCGGCGCTGACATTGCCGCTGCCGGTGACAGGTGCTCTCAGGGAGGTGATGTGGTTGAACCGGGTAAAGTCCAGCCGCAGCGGGCTCGAGACGGCCCCTGTCGACAGGAGTGGGTCACGGGTCAAGGTCAGTCGTTGCGAACCACGCACGATGGGATAGCGACGGACGATGCACGCAGGTGGAGACGAGTCAAGGTCAGTCATCGAGAACTACGCTCGGTGGAATAACGACGAGCGGTGCAGGCGGGTAGGGGCGAGTCAAGGTCAGCCATTGCAAACCATGCCCGAGAGGCTGACAACAAACGGTGCGGGCGGGTAGGGACGAGCCGAGAGTCACGCGGGTCTCCAGTTGCGTATGTTAGGTGTTACAGCGTTAAGAAGCAACCCACAAACCCGCCGCAGCGTACTAAAATTAATCGAGTAGAGTGTGCAAGATGTAAATATAACTTCATACCATCAGAATCCTGTCTCTCCGGCGGTCCCCGCACGCAATTTGTTGGCGCCAATCCGTTGCCCCTTGACCCCGATCCAGACATCTGGCCTACTCAGCCCATTTGTTAAGCCTGAGGCGCATAGATACTGATTTTACAGCCGCCCGGTTCGATGCTGATTGGACGATTTTGAGCAAGGGGAGGGGCCACAGGCAGTGAGCCCGAATCCGAGGTATTATAGCGTGAATAATATGGACATCCCTCTCAACCAAGTTGGCCGAATATTGGAACGCTGTGACGCACGCATTTTTTTACAGGAAGCACCGAAAGTGTGATCAGAGGGTGCCTCTGGTAGCTGACGCCGAGCTCACGTTTTATCAGGTCTCAGGGTTCGCCGCAGGCTGTTTACAGAACTGCATTTCCGTAAATGTGTTTGGTGCGTTCTACATGAAGGATGCCTGAAGTTTACAGAACGGTGAGCGGCATCTACACAAATGCGTTTCGTTTATGTGATGTTAGAGGTGTTGGAATCAGAATCAAGCATAAGTCATGAAACGATCGCAATTGAGAACTGTGAGATGGGAAGCAAAAATATGGACAATTCGTTGCCATCGAAAAGGCGCTCAACGGCGTGAAGTAACGAGAGTGTATATGAAACTTCGCATGAAAGTTAGCCCGCGTCTCGAACATGATTGCGCTGGTCTCCTGCAGGCACGCTATCATGTTGCGTAGGACGCCATCACCGCAACATGAACGTTAGCCCGCGTCTCGAACATGATTGCGCTGGTCTCCTGCAGGCACACTATCAATGTCGCGTAGGACGCCATCACCGCAACAGGTCAATATCCCTGTGAGCGAAGGGGCCATTTATACATCCACAGACGCAGCGGGAGTTCTCGGCAAGGAGGTCCAGACGCACACAGGATATTCATACAACGGCCAGTATTTCTCTCTCCATTCCTCCAACACACGTACGCACACGCACAAACGGCGCACACACGTCTGTACACAGCGTCCCCTGTCACCCACAGAACAGTGGATCGCCCAGGTATCGGACGACGGGCGGTAACAGACACGGACAGGCGCCCGGGCAGGGCGCCCGGACCCAGGGCTCGGCGCAGCACCTGCGAATGCCAACCGCCGGCCTGCACGGGACAGGAGCCCGGGCGCAATGGCGACGACACGGCAGGCCTGTCAGAATCAGAGCGTAGAGGAGAGAAGTCTGCGTGCGTCGGTGTGGGTCCGCCCAGGAGTCCGGCAAGCGTCTAGTGCGGCGTGGTGGCCAGCGTGAGGAGCTGATGACGTACCTGCGGCCGGGGCGCCCTGACTGTCGGAGCCCGACGAAGTGGAGATGTCCTGGCGGCAGCAGAGCGGCGGTCCACGCCTGCAGCGGGCGTACACACCTGCGCGGAACGTCACACCAGACGGTCAGGTCACGCGGCACGCCACACCAGACGGTCATGTCACGCGGCACACCACCCCGGACGGTCAAGTCACGCGGCACACCATACCGGACGGTCAGGTCACGCGGCACGCCACACCAGACGGTCAGGTCACGCGGCACGCCACACCGGACGGTCAGGTCACGGGGCACGTTATACCGGACGGTCAGGTCGCGTGGCAGCGACCGGGGACGCGAAGTTGGGCTGGGACGGCGGTGGTGGGGGAGGGAGGCGAAAGCAGGGAAACATTTGTGAGAGCGCGCGTTGGTGAACAGCCATTGGGAACCAGGAGAAGGTGAGGAAGGCGGCCGCCTTGAGAGACAAGGAGAACTCGTCGAAACACCGTGTCTAAATGCATCACGCCTGGAGTTGCTGAACGACAGCACTGGGCCGTGTAGACTAATCGCTAAGAGAAAACATTAGAACGTAATTTGGAATGCACTCGCGGCTAAGCCGTCCGCGGCCCGAACTAGCTTGTCTAAAGCAGCATGTGCAGGAGACCACGAATGCACATCAACCACCTGTCCAACTGGTCAGGGCTGAATACTCCCCGAACCCAAAAACATGGAATCACTCCGACCAGCACTGGTCAATGCTACTCTTTTGCGGTTCTTAATTACAGGGGATATACATATGGGTTGAAAATAAGTCAATTCGCCCCAGCATTCGGACTGTTGTGAGTCGCTGATGAATCGGACGAGTCTGTAAAACCTTGTTGTTTGAGGTGCGTGTCACCTCATGCGACGTCTTTCAAAACTGCGCCAGGTCGTAGTTCTGTTTTATGAAACTAGCCCCTGGCTGGCTGCGAACTGTGCCCGGCCGCTGCCGCGTCAGCGAGTAGTGACGAGGAAGACCTACAGGTTCTGGCCAGTTCCAACCGAGACAAAAACCAGTTCTGATGGCAATATCAGTGGCGTATCCAAGACTAACCAAAAATGTCCCCCCTTCCCGAGAAGATAAAAATTCCAGTTTTAGGTGAGAGTTTGGGTGGCTGCCATTTTCACGCGTGGCTTCCTCAACTTGACCCTCCCTCCCCGGTCAGGTCAGATGGTGAGTCCGCCCTTGTATGGAGATCGATGTGCGGTTAGGTTACGCCGTCGCTGAAGGCTGCCGTGCGCGCGCGCCAGCAGATTTGAAGACCACTGTCATGGAGTGGTCATTTGCTGCAGCACAGCCCTCAAATCGCGTGCGTATGATGGGTGCGTTTAATGCCCCAAGAGTCCAAGAAAATGCTGTTTATTTTGATAATCATTCGAAACTATTCATTTCAAAAAAATTAATAGTTCGATAGTAGCACAGTAACCGGAGGGGTCACGGTAATTTTCATGAAGGTTTTAACGTTCAACAGGTTTATTTCCATCCTATCATGAAAGTTCACTGTTGACGTGTATTTTTGTGTCAAATACTGAGGCTTCGCTCTACTAATCGGGAGGTATGAAAAGGATTCACTTAGAAAAAAAGCTTTCCTAGCTTTTGGAATATTTCTCCGCCCATGTTGATAATCCCATGCTCATATCCAGTTCATACCAGTCTGGTAGTAACGTGCATTGTCTTGGCAGACAATGACTAGGATTACATTGGACTCCATTGCTTGCGTACAGCCCCTTACTTAGAGGGCTACCTATGGCCGTCAGTAGAAAGGTGTCAAGTTTATAATCATATGCAGCGTGTACATCATCTGACATAATCAGAATGTAGGCATCACAAAGCATAACAAAATACATATTGAACCATTTGGTTTAAATGCGATTAGCATAAGGCACGTTCGTGCACCATGTTCACTCCGCGGTAATCTTGCAGAGACAAATACTTTCTACTAAGAAATCAAACATTTGATTGGTAGACAAGGACTCTGTTCTAATCAGTGGTTGCAATCCCCCCCCCCCCCCCCACACACACACACTCACTATTTCAAATCGGCTGGCTAGCATGACGGGGCCCTGACGGGGGGTGCAGCGTTAAGCACAGGTAGCTGCCCCTACTGCTGGCGGGTCGGGTCAGAGCGGACCCAGAGTACCGTTGGTGCTCGGGTTTATGGGAGCGCTAACCGTATGACTGTTGTCAAATTGCGGAGGCAATTTTCGCAGCTGCGGTGATCTCTGGACGATTTAAATGTAACTATGTGTAAAATGATCTACGACTGCTTGGCTGGTTTAGTGACCAAAACTTTATCCACTCATTCGATGCACGTCTTTCACGCAAAGTATTGATCAACAGGAAGCCAGAGACATCCCGCCCTCAGTTCGCATGCAATCATCAAAACACCGAGTGCAGTACGTGTCAATCTGGTCACATCATTCTCGTACTAAGCGCAGACATGGAAATCGAGCGCATGCCTGCGGAGCTGCGCATTAGGGTTGGTCATCAACCTTTTTTTTCTCAGATTATAATTGGGATGTGATTTTTGGTGGTGCGGCGTGCTAAAACGTTGATTAGGTACTGAATTACACTAATTGAGAGTTTCTTTTATATATTTCATGCTAACATATGCAATTTCGTGTTTGTTTAGGCGGCATTCTTTGAAAAATAGGTTGATTGTTTCATATTATCAATATGCTAACAATTACATGATTCTACGGAACATTTTAGTTGTAAGAACATTCGTGGTATCCCTGCTGCCAAAGTTGTTTGCATATTAAAAATACATTCACCATAAGCATGACGATAAGCATGATGTTTCACATTTCATAAATAATTCGGGGAATTGCTTCGACGAAACGTTTATTGTAGCGCCGATATTTAAGAGGTCATCAAAGTTTGTGCTGATGAGGGTATTCCAACCCACGGCCGGTACTATGTCTCCAAATGTGTCGAAATAGAGCTTCGATGCTCTTAGGAAGGTCATCAAAAATCCCAAGGAATCCATAGAAGGAAGTTGAGTGGAAAATGAACAACGCTCACTTTGCCAAACCTTTTGCATCGCTAAGAGGAAGTGCCGCTCTCAGAACGCCTACACTTGTCTAGTACGTAACAAAATCCCGGCAGAAGAATGGGCATTTGTAAGCGGTCATTTAATTCGGCGGAAGCCCACTGTTGAAGCCGTCGACAGAGCAACAGCTTCAAGTGAGGACGCTGCAACTCGTTTATCCTACTGCAACTGCAGTGAGGGGGGCACGCCTTCAAAGAAGAGTCCCGATAAAGCTATCATCAACGGCAGGCTGATGATCCTGTACTTGGACTAAGCAACGCCACTTGCAGCTTCGACAAGGACGCGGCGAGCTAGGATGACGCCATGGAAGAGACAGACGACTTCTTGTCGGGTGCCGTCGCCTCCGAGAGGAACGTAGCCAGCCCGTCTCACGCAGCGCTGACTACGGATCGCTATGGGCGTCTACAATCGTGCCGCCGCAGCGTTCATAAATGCCTTTCAGCAGGACATTGGTCGTCTACATAAACTCACGAGATAGATCCTGCATTGTTGACCCGAAAAAGATCTAGCCGGGCAATGACCCGAAAGAAGTAAAAACGGCACGCGAGAACGCAGACGACACCTTGGCGTCGGGATTGACAAGTTGTTGCTTTGATCGAAGGAGAGTCAAACCATACGTTGACCGCGCCGCTGTTACTGAACCTGAGGAGCGCGACATTGTCCTCACTGAGCCGGGAGAGAGGTACGTGACACACTTAACCCTGCTGCCCGGGAGAGCCATTGACGAGCTGACCGAGCTATACTCGACCATTCGACAGTTGGGCGGAGAAGTGAAGGTCTTGGCTGCGGTAAGACGGCTGAGAACACTGACGCGACTGTCGGAGGACGTCGACTCTTCGAGCTCGTATTCGGGGGCTCAGTTTAGGGGTTCATCTGCCAGTCGCATGCCAATGAACTGAACCTGCGACGTGTTCTGCTCACCCTGCACCCAGGGCCACCGTCTTTTACAGAACCCATCGGCAAAAAGTGTGCTACCGATGTTCGGCAGCGTGAGGTGGTGGATGAGGAATTTGACGCCGTCCCTTGGTTCGTGGAAGAGATCCCACTTTGGTCGACAACTCAGCCACGACCAGGAGCAGCTGTACCGCCTGGCTCGTGCCGTCCAAAACGACACCGTCCCAGACCAGATCGCCAGTAACAGAACAGGAGCCTGAGCGACTTTTGGTAAGCGAAGTGGAAGCCTGGAGTGTGTTGTATTTCATATAACTAACAATGTTTCAATCTTTTAATAACGTTACAAATTGCTATGACGTAACAAAACGTATACATAAACAAAGTATGTCTTGAATTATGCGCCTTGTTCCATGATATTTACCGTTTGAGAACATGAGGGAAGGTGTAATCTGTAGACCATATAGCGCACGTTAAGGGCTGGCCATTAATTACACCGTGCAGGAGGGGTAGACGGGGGGTCATCCGCAGCGTCACGAACTGTGGCACGAGGAAGGAAGGGGCTTAACACGTTGCTTGGTGCTAGCGTGGCGCTACGCCTTGAAGCCAGAATCTTTGGCAAAAAATTATCTTTTGGCGGATTTTCTTGGTAAAATTTATTGATCTTGAGTTCTTAATATAGGTGGGATCATGAGTGTACCGAAATCATGACGGGGTACGCTTTAGCGTGACAAGCGGAGAGAGGGGTTAAAAATTGTTCATTTAGCGTAACGTAAATAATGGACGGCCCATTATAGACACATTATACAATATACACACACGACAGCATGGATTTCACTGTTTTGCAGGTGGCTGACCACGGCCGTGCGTCTCTTGCAGCTGTACGTATCGGACGAGTCTCGATCTGCAGATCTCAAACAGCTGATTAATTAATATAATAACATAAACTATGATATAATGAATATTACAATAAATTATGCATAATATAAGATAGATTATAATATAAATTATCATATATATATATATATATATATATATATATATATATATATATATATATATATATATATATATATATATATATATATATATAA